GTTTTGGTTTAGTATTAACTCTGTATTGGCTCTTGGCTGACTGGGGTTGATTTTTGGCTTAATTGTTTCAGGATGCTTTGGACATCTGGAAAGCAGAAATTGTGGGGGAGGGGGATGATTTATGAGCAGCACTAAATAAAATTAAGAGAGGTTGATAACTTCAATTCTGTATTGATTTCTTTTTTGGTAAAAGTTTTGGGTGGAGGGGAGGCAGGGCTGTGACGAGCAGACAGAAGAGGGAAGAGGAAATGCTTTCAGAGAGCTCGATTTGCTGAGCTTTGTCTTAAAAGCACGTCTGGCTGAAGCGCCGTGAAATGCCGTGCTGACCTACATCCTTAGGAGACAGATTTCACCGCTTAACTCACTAAGGCCAATGCCATCTTCCAGTGCTATTTGTCAGGCTGTTTCTGATGGCTCTTTCTCATCTTCTCCTGTCGTTGATGTCCTGGCATTCCTGCCTCATGACTCCTATAGCCAACCCACCAGAACCTGTCGTATCACAGTGAGTTGTGATGGTATGCTTCTTTTATGCTTCTTTTGAAGGCTGTAGCTTTTTTTTTTTTTTTAAAGACAGTCTAGCAACTATAATGCCAAACCACCCACACTAGGAGACAACATATGGCAGCTCCCGTGAATTAGCATGCGGCTAAGTAACACATCACCTGGTGTTTTCACAAAGGCTCCAGCCCTGGTAGCTGGGTGTGGAGGTTCTGGCCACACGTCCACCTCCCCAGAGGGCACTAAGCACAGCCTTGCAGGCTGTTACGAGTTACGTTTTAAGGCTGGTTTTGGTTTTACAAAAAGCCCCTGATTTGCTTTTGTAGAAAGATGTGGGTAGGATAATGGCTGATTTGTTCTTACATGCATGCATCAGGTATACGTGCAGTCTGAGATTTACAGGTGTCCGTCTGGGCCTGTCTGCTTCCCCCCTCCTTCCTTCTGCAGGAATCACCTGCCTACAAATAACCTGTCCATACTGCTTTACATGATTGCAAACAGTTCTGCTTCAAACCTGATAGACCAAATAGCATTCCCAGGAAAGCAGAGCGGCTCGGAGCCTCAGACCTGTGTTCCCTGCATGTGCAGGACACAGCCGAGTGGAACAGACAGGATTCAGGGAAGGAGAGCGTGAGACCTGTTCTCTGCCTCACAGTTATTTGTATACAAGACTGGATTAATTTCCAGAGTGCTGAGGTGACTTCATGAATCCTAGAAGCTGTTTTGTCTGTTCAACTTGTGAATAAAAGAGACGGGAGAGAAATTCCTGCTGTAAACAATAGCAAAATGTCAGGAGCGAGACATTGTGGGGAAAAAAATCCTATATTGTTTTGTCAATAAATTATTCTTTCTCCTACATAGATCACAGAAATGGGACCTTACCCTGGAAACAGCAATATTTGATACCCCAGGCAGCTTATTCTCAGCTCACACTTCACTGAATACTGATCGATTATCCGCGGCTTAACCAAGCCTTCTCATTTCCTGCCTGCCATTACTGCGCTCAATCAAGCCGACGTGCTTTGTGGCCTGCCTTGTGCACAGAGATAAGCCATCAAGGCATGTTTCTATTAGAAAAGCTCTTGTAGATGGAATAGTCATTAGGTAACACTCAGGGGTTTAAAGGTTGCGGGGCTTTGTGTTGGTTCAGGTTAAGAGGGCAGGAACGGAGCAGGGCTGCCTTCTGGGGTCCCCGTGTTTGGGGGATGGAGGAGCGTGTTGCCATGCTTAGTGCTCCTATTCAGCATTTGTTTCTTGCAGCATGGTGGTAGCTCTCACTTTCTGACATTTCTACTGTGCTTGCAAGAAGTAATTGAGGTAGCTGTTAATGTGCATGCATCTAAATTAAATAATCAAGCTGCAAAAATAACATTCATCTGTAGTAATGACCTTTGTATTTCCAAGCTGAATTTCCTTGGCTTACAAACAGCTGTTCAGGTTTCTTATTATTTAATTAGAAAGCAGCCTAGAAGAAGATATCCTGATAACGTGGCGTTACACAGGCTGTGGCAAAGCGGGAAGGAAAGGGACCCTAGCTGTATTTCTGTAGCTCCTCATTGCCCAGCATTCTCATCTCTGTTCCCTCGCTCCCTTTGCCCAGGCGATCTGACACGACTGCTGATCCCCACCACGCAGCCTCCTCTTGAAAATTAATAAATGTCAGAATTGAGTGAGTGTTGAAATACTTGTATAGCAGGAGCAGAAACGCAGGCGGTGATTCAGCAGGGACGGCTGCGTGGGTCGATAAGTGGAGGAAGTCAAATTACACTGGGATTGGAGCAGGCAGTGCTGCGTCTTGGGGCGTAACTAGAGCTGTTTGCATGGAGGAAAATAGTTTTCTGGGAGGGCAAACGCTGTCCCAAAGGGAGTGAGTTAACCTGCAGTGTTAAAAATGAATTAAATCGTTCATTTCAACTGGTTTTGAATGGGGGTTCTATGAGAGCTTCTATGCTACAATGCATGAGACTTTTATTTTGATCAGTGAAGTTGCTGTTAAAATATTTAACATCTATTACAATAACACGAAGACCCTTGGTAGCTTAGAATTAATCCTGGTTGTTGTTTTTTTTTTTTTTCCTGTGTTAAAAAAATCGTTGTTGAAAACACGTTTGAAGGGAAAGATGTTCTTTTCCGTGTTTCCATTTTGCTGTTTGTTTCTTTGAAATAGCTCCTGCTCACCGGCCCCAGCGCGCCCATCTGTCAGCTCCAGCATTTGGTGTATTGCTTCCAAAGCTAGTTGTGATTGAGCGTGGTAGCTAAATAGGGCAAGTAATGAAGGATGCTGCTCAAATCCCTCCGAGAGAATCTGCAGGACATCTGCGACCGTTTGCACGCTTTGGTTACTCATAACGCCGGGGAGAGGACATGAAATCTCTTCAGATGTGAACTGCAATGTGTCAGAGCTCTGTTTTGAAGTGTTTTATAAGAAAACCGGCACCTTGGAGGTGTTGCAAATGCTGTGGAAATCAGTGTGTGTGTGGTTTTAAAGGGGACCTGTAAGATTTTGTTCCGCTCCACGCCCTTAAAGGAGGCCTTGATTTGTAAATGGTTGAGCAGATGTTTGTGCACAGGGACGCCTTAATCCATTTACACGTTTGCCTTGATCTTGTTGGATGTCCAGAACTGCTTCATACTTAAAACAGAAAAAGGGAGGTGGGAGGGAAGGGAAAAAGGCCCAAAGCAGCAGCAATAGAACCCCAGGTGAGTTCTTGTGGAGAACTGCAGCAATGGGCGCCGTTTTCACTTAGGTAGGAGTTCTGTAGCACCAGGAATCTATTTTAGGCTGAAAGAGACACCAGATAGCTCTTGCTGTTTGTGGTTTCTGCTATTCCGGATTTGACGTGCAGCTATCTGCAGTCCTGGTGTGTAATGGCATTGGTAACACAAACACTTGGTGAGCGAGGGCCTGCCTGCTCTTTTGTGTGCACATCCTTGTGAAGTAACCAGCCTGACACCTCAGGGCAGCGCCCACAGACCTCTGTGTGCTGAGGGAGGCTCAGGTTGTGGGTTTAAGAAGGCAAAACGATGCTTGTTGGCTAGGAGAGAACCCAGCAAAACTGCATTTTCTAGTCTTCCTTCGTCATGGTTGCGTATGCACAGGTGATGGGTCTCCTTTGCAGTGCTTCCCAGTGCCTGCTGGTGAAAGGCTGTAGTGGGGTGAATGGAAGCTTGGGGTCCTTCTGCTCGGTGTAAGCCGTCCCTGCCTACCCTGCTCTGTTCAGCCTTGTGTGCAGCACCATTTCTGCCTTCCAGACTTTGCCTGTTTGATTTCTTCCGTGCATTTTTGTCTTTGCCTGCAAGTGTGCTGTTAAACACCCAGAAGTAAGTTCAGGTTTCCTCAGTGCATCAGTTGTGGTCCGGAGCGTTTTTGTGCACAGAAGCACATGTGCTGGAGCAATGCACTTTTGTCTGGCACAATGCTGCCACTAGCAGTTCTTGTGTGGCATTACACGTGTTTTTAATGAAAGGCTTCGAGGAATGTGGATGTAGTGGAAAGATTCTCGTGTTGTTTATCGAGCGTAATTGGTGGAAATTATTGCACTAACGAGGCTGATGTGGACAGGGACTGACAGTAAGAGCTTTCTGGCCCAGTAACCTATTAGCAAACCATTAAATGGAGAGGTAGGGGTGAGAACAGAGCGATGCAGAGAGCTGTGGCCCAGAGCCCAGTGGTGGTACAGCTGCCTCCTTTCCTTTGGGGATGCTCCTTTCCCTTTAGGCCTCCCTCCTACTCATTGGGTGTTTGGGATTAGCAGGAAGAAGTGACTACCAGGGGCATCAGAGATGAACTGAAGCTGTCATAACTGGATTTAAACATTCCTTTAAAGTGGTACTTAGGCTTGGTTCCTCCTAAGAACAACGAACTGATAGCTGGTTGCTCAAAAGCAGAAGGTGCTCCTGGGGAAGATGTGATTTTATGTAAGTTTTGCTGTTGGCTCTCTGGTACCACTTATGTTACAGGGAGTCGGAGCCTGTAATTATTGGGGTTAAAGTACAGCATCCTGTTTCCTGTTCGTTGGTGTCTGAGAGTGTAATAAGGAACTTTTACGATGGTGTCTGAAACCATCTGTCCTCAGTGTCTGTTGGTTGCAGCTGTAAAGTATGGTGTCATTGAATTGTGCTGTGTGTCGGGCTGTATGTCTGGCTGTATGTCTGGCTGGTTGGTAGGAACAAGCAGACTGGGATCGTGCTGTGTGAGGCCACATGTTCCAGCCTTTTTTCTGATCCCTTCCTTTTCTTGTTTAGTTTTTGTGAATGTATCCATTGTATTTCTGGTGTGATACAGAGACACAGCTGTGTGAGAATGGAGTAGGTTCCTGTCTTCTGAAATTCAGTCTGTCATTAGCACATTGCCCTTGTTTCCTTGCCATAGAAATCTGCTTTCCTCCCTATTGAGCCTCACCTCAGACTTTCTTCAGTGTGAAAAGAAATGTACTTTGGAAGACTGTCTCAGATGCAGCCTGATTTCCTTTTTAGTAATGCCTTTAGACCTTCTTTTTCAGAGTAAACGGGACCATCTCCTTATGAATGTCAAATGGTACTATCGCCAGTCTGAAGTCCCAGATTCAGTCTATCAGCATTTGGTTCAGGACAGACACAATGAGAATGGTAAGTTAGGCTCTCTAGAGTAAGGCCTTTACATGTTCTCTGAATTTTAACAGTCTGAAAAGCAGGGATGCTTTTGCATATGGATGTGAAGCAAAGACTGCTGATGAGCACAAGGCATTAGAAGATGGGTGATGGCATTTACTTGCCTTGTTTGTTCCAACCAATGTAAGTCCTGTAACCATATCTATAATGGGATGTGTTTCACGTACACTTAAATTGTATGGTCCTATGAGTCTTAGAGAATAGAAAACAAAAACAGCATTGGATCCCTTGTAGCACCTTAGCTGAGTTTCCTCCTTTTCTCTCTGCAAAAACAATTGTGTTCTTTGGTTTAATAGCAGCAGGGGAGGAAACTTAAGTACATATTCCAGCGTCATTTATCTCTTGCCTCTAGGGGAGACATAACATTTCTACTGTAATTGGTGAATTTCCTTGAGGCAACAGTTAAGGTTCTGAAGATACTCTTAGGTGAATAGTGATGACAAAACTGATGCTTAAAATGTGCAACACAGCATTTTTTTGCTACGTGACAATATAAAACTGAGCATATCTTTTCCTTTTCTGGAGGCATTAAGGATATTTGGCCTGGGCTTTAAGCAAAAGCTGCGGGAACCTAACTCACTAATTTCTTTAAAACTTTATACGTGGGGATTATAAACATATTGTCAAAAAGTGAACATAACTTCCCTTCAGGGGTTCAGATACAGCAGGGGAATTGGCTTGCAAAAATGGGTACCACGTTATTTCCCTACCTTGCAGGCCACGCAGAGCAATTTGAGTGTTTGCCATCATAACACTGAGAGTTCTGTCTGAGAAGCATCCTCTGACCTTGAGCTGTGAGAAACACCTGCGAGATGATAAAGGTGGATGCTTTCAGTTTGTAGCTGATGTGTTGAGGTTTCTTGTTTTTGCTTTCTGGCAGACTCTGGACGAGAGCTTGTTATTACAGACCCAGTTATCAAGAACCGAGAGCTCTTCATTTCAGACTACGTCGACACTTACCACGCTGCTGCCCTCAGGTAAGCTGCAGAGGAGTGGTGCAGCATCTCTGAGCTGGATGAGAAAAACCTTACTGAGAGAGAGGTGCCTTTCCTGGTTTGGTTGGGGATCATTAGCATACTGCTCAGCTTTCTCCTCATCTGCTGCAGTAATTAACTTGTGTTATCTGTTCTCGTTCAAGAAGGAGCTGTAATTCTACAATCTCATTTTAATCCCAGTTAATCAATGTTGCTCAGAAGATATTGTTTCCCATCATTGCAAATTTAGATTATTGCCAGCTCCTGCAGAAATACTACCCTTCCCTCCTCCGTGTTTGATTTCACCATTAACAATAGCGTCTCTTTGGAAAGTGACTGTTAGCATGCAGCCCTGATAAATTGCATTAAAGACTTTTGCTCCGAGGCGCTTGTCATTGTCGAAGCTCAGCTGAGAGCTCCATTAAAAGCTGGCTACACAGACAGGAGGTAATGGGCTCCTGCATTGTTCCCTGCATGCTCCCCTTCCCAGGGGGTTGCTGCCCTCTTTGCCCACTGAGAGCTGAACTGAAGTTCCTGACCTTTGGCTGAGCAGAGGGATGCACCATTACTTAATGTTTCCAAATAGGAATCATGAGGCATTATTTTTAGCAGATTTTCAACGTGCCAAACGTGCATGGATATTGTCAGAATGCAAATTGAATAATCTCTCTGATAATAATGCTCAGATGGTGTTTCACCAGGACCATCTGGAGACATTTTCTTTGTTCAGAGTCACTTTGCTGAAGCTGCTAAAAGACAGACTTGCAGCAAATTCTATTACAAGGGTGGGAAGAAATATTTGATTTGCATATTAGAAGATGTTTGATAAACTTGAAAAATTCCAGTGATGTGCTGTAATCCTGTGTGATGCCACAGCACAGTCCTTGTGTTGCAGAATGCAGCCATCCTGTGTTAAATCAGTGGGCTTGGAAAGGATTTAGCAGGAGATGGGCTGGCCTGAAGGAACCAGCCTTGGGAATCTGATTGTCATTTAAATACGGAGAGACTGAGCTGTGCGTGGGGAATTTCCATGGGGATATTCTAGCTTCAGTTCTATGTTCCTGCTGTTTCCTTGCTTGAAGAGAAAGGTACAAGATGGGGTGTTTGTATACCAGGAAAACTTAGAAAATAACCTTTTCTTCTTCCTTTCTGAAAACAGTGAAGGATGCTCTTGTGCATTTTCCATTCTTTTGTTAATTTTACATGGCTTGTAGGTGGCATCATGGATAAAGATTTACTTCTGTTGATTTTATTTAGCAAATTGTAATTGATGCTTGTAAGTAAGTTTTAGTGTACAAGGCACATGAGGGTAATTGCACCCAGGGCTCTTACAGTTGGAGAGCATACAGCAGCAGAATGCATTGGGATGCCTGGAAGCGAGGTTAACTTGAAATCCAAGTTTATTTTCTATGAAATTAGATTATTTCTGTGCTCTCTGCAAACAAATGGATCTGGTTGCACAATGAGTTGATGACAAACGAGGAAATAAAACCATTGACTAACTTCCAGTCTTCTGCTCTGACTAGCAGGAAGACAGAGCTAGAGGATGCTCGTGGATCCCCTCCAGTAATGTGTAGTGCTACTTCTCTGAAGTACTGTGTCTTGCTTTCCTGAAGGTAGATAATACATACAGGCTTATTTGGCCAACAGTTATTATTGACTGTCAGGCACATTATTGAAGGAAACTTAAACTTTTCCTTTCATGTGAAATACCAAAAGAAATATCCCTTACTAGGAGCAAACTGGGGAACTAGATTCAGGCATGGAGGATAAAATAAATGCTAGTGAGCAAGTTTGTTTTTCAGTGTTTCTCTGTGGGAGATCTCCATTGTGGAGCCTGTTAACATTCCATTACAGCATTGCAGGACACATGCAGCATTCACTGTTGCTTTGCCCTTTGCCAGAAAGGTAATTGGCTGAGAATTATAGGCCATCACAGGGACAGTGGTGTGCAGCCCCAGCTCTCAGGATAGTCCTATGGATTCTGTCCTGCTCACCTTGCTGGTCCTCCTGGTGTTTTTCTCTCACTTTCAGACCTTGAGGTTGTGTGGGAGAGTTTGTTATGAAGCAGTTTGCTGTTCTTGCTGTTGTGTGGTTTGTTTTCTGTACTTGAAAGGATCGAACCAATTTTGAAGTTGTCTGAAAATGTTCTGAACTGGAAGCTTGTGTGGCTTTCTAAATAGAAGCCCAACTTCCCAAGCCATGCGGGCAGTAGAACTTTAGAAGCTTTCTAAAAGACTTAATTGTAAGAAGAAAAAAGCTATACAAGGACTGCATAAACCTTAAAGAGAAGGCATTTTCATGATTGTGTTGCAAGGGCAGGCACTGTTTGTTTCTCTACCAGGTGGAGGTGGGACTCTTCAGGAGCCTGTTGGCCGAATGGGAGTTAATGAGTGTTTGTAGTCTGACATGCTGTGTCTTCCATTGCCACCACGGGATGAAACTGCATGGGTCTTGTTAAAACGGGCTTGTGTGTGGATTTTGCATATGAGAACTGTGACTCATGCACAGATTACCATGGTGTTTAATTAAAATAACTTATTTACAACGGAGCTCTAATACCATCTTCCCTCTTTCTTTCAGGGGAAAGTGTAACATCTCCCATTTCTCTGACATTTTTGCTGCTAGAGAGTTTAAAGCGAGAGTGGATTCATTTTTCTACATACTGGGCTATAATCCAGAGACGAGGTAAGAGAAGTGACTTTTCAAGGCAACCTTTACCACAGATTTGAGCCTGCAGGAACAGGAAACCTTTCAAAGGGGAGAAAAGCTGAAATCAAGCAGGATGCTGATAGGAAAGTGGGGTAGAGGGAATGTGAAGGAGAAGCTGCCTGTTCCTGCTGGAGGGGTGTCTCTGTTTTTTTTATACGTGTATAATCTAAAATATATAAAAAATTTATATGTACATATGTGTGTATATATATAAATAGTGCCTGATAAATGCTTAAATACCCAATTCAGATCTGTAGATTTATTTTTAGAGGGTACAAGCAGTAGCAGGAATTGTTAGGTATCTTGTTGAGTAAGTGCACGTTGTGGAAAATGCTCATAAGATACCTATGCATCTTCTAGTAAGCAGTGCTGAAGCTTTCACTTCTAGGAAATCATACTGAGAGTTTTTACATGTGGAAGATGTGCATTCATATGTAATTGCCCCTGTAGGATTCCTTACCAGTAGCTACTTGATGCTTTGCTGGCCTTGAGTGTAGTTGAGATAGGGAACTTTTCTAGCAATTAAAGCCTATATGAAGGAGGTGTGTGCAGCACACTCTTCTGGTCCATGGAGTCCTTGGAATCTTGCTGGGTGTTGTCTGAGCTGCCTTTATCAGCTAGGTTCACACCTTCCTTATTCTCAAGTCCAGATGCTTAGCTCATTTTCACCTGCTTAGTTCTGTAACTCAGAGCAGCCTTACAAGCCCTATCCTAAGGAGTTTGCTATCTAGGGGCATTTTCTGTGAGTGCTTGCCTGTAAGATTGATGGAGGTTGGTGAAGGGCTGTGCTGGCTGAATGTAGTATAGTTTCAACACAGAAAACACAGTGACCTTGTGGACCCCTATTTCTAGTGATATTGTCAAGAGCAACAGTTCTTTAATTAGATAGGCATGCAAGTAATAAATAAATGCATTGTTACATTGTAGATGAACAATTTTTAATGGAATGTAAATCCTCTTGCTCCAAGGCATAGCCTGCCACTAACTGGTTGCAGTTGTGAAGAAACTGTGTGTGTTATTACATAACTGCTTATTCCTGAGGTTTCCTGTACCTTACTCTGAAGTGCCTTAAGCTGTCAGTATGTCTGAGGCAGGATATTGGATTAAGTACAATCCTTGAATTGATTCAGCCTCTGTTGGTAGGAAGTTTTGTCAGTATAGGTCCCTACGAGGCAATCTTGCTAGTGTATGCTGCTGAGCTCCGGGGAGAAAAAAGCACATCAAGTCCATTCATATCTTACAATATATTCTGTTAAGTTGCTTTTCTTAATGCTATCTGTGTGTTTTCTTGGAGAAGTCCAAAAAGAGCAAGTTTGTTGCAGTACATCTCTGATGCTGAACGTCACACTTGACCCCTGTTTTAACTTCATCACTTTTCAGTGCGTTTTGATTTTGAGGTAGAGAACAGTAAATGAACTACTTGCACTGGTGTTGGAGTTTGCTGCTTAATAATTGCAAAATGCCATTTGTGCCAGAGCTGTCAGGCAGTTCTAAACTCATTTTATGTGGAAATAGCTGTTAATTCTTCTGAGTATTTCTACATAGAGAATGTCTGAGATCAATGAAGTGACAAAGCACTGCACTTAGTGCCCAGCTGATTACTCAGAGCAGCCAGCTCTCAGTGCCTTTTCTTTGATTGCAGCCATGCCTTATTAAGCTTGTTTTGTTTTGGGCTCGGGATGTTCAGAGTAAGGCCTGAGTTTGGGCTGCTTTGGCCCATGTTGAACTGTTTGCTACTGCATTACAATATGTGCTGCTTTACCTTCTTCTAGCTGTATTTGGCTCTTGAGAGTGGAAGTATCCTACCATGACAACAAAACTTTGTCTTGAACTTGATCTGACTTTCTCCTCTGGTGTTTTATGTCACGTGGTAAACATGGAAGACTCTTTTTCTGTGGTTTGGAGCGTGGATGTGTTACAGGTACAGCTCAGGATGTGGCCGTGAATCCCTCCCAGCTGGACTGCAGCAGTGTGGGATGGGGTACATTCTCAGCCCAAGCTGCTTTGAGTTTGGATTGCATGACAAAGTTGTATTTCCCTTTGAGTGCTTTCAGTTTGTATTCCACATAAGGTGCTGATGTTTCTGTCAGGCCTCTTGGTGTGTTGGGAATGCAGAATTTCAGTGCTTTGGTGTGCTAACAGCTGTCCCAAGGCCTGGATGTGAAGGAAGCCCTGTGTTCTGTGGGTAACTTTTCTTCACAGGCAATGGGGAGCTGGTTTTGTGCTGTGGATTTTGGTGAAAGGTTACACTCTTCAGTAATCCTCACGTCGGTTCAGTAGTTGAATATAAAAGTCAAAATGAGTGTTGACACCTCGAGCTGAGTGTTAATCAGCTTGCAGGCAGGTGTGAGCTGTGTTCATGGCTCTCCATTGTGGAATATCTCCTCTGAAGGGGCAGCCAGCTGGGAAAGAATGTTCTTTTTACACTCAGTGCTTTAAAATAATTTGTTTGCTAGACAAGGGGGATATTAGAGAAGGGAGCTGAGTGAGAGGACCTATAAATCTGATTACTTCCTTCCTTGTCTGCAAGGAGAATTCTATTAAAGTCTGAATCAAGTTTTTGTTCCTTCTCAATGGGAAACACAGCAGATGGAACACAAGTTTCAGGCCTAGGAACAGATAAGAAAAGTGTGTCTTAAGAAGCCAGTGTGAAGTTGTGTGCAAGTGGGGTTTACTGAACGCCCTCCTTTAGAAAATAATTGAAGTTCGAGAAGAAATTTACACCTACAATCAAAATGTGAACAGACTAAAAAGGAGTAGGGAGCTCTTGTGTTTCCATTCCTTTGTCTGGTTACATTTTAGCAGTCAGAATATTCTGATTCTGTGCATATTGCGGCGCCTAGGGCAGTGAGAGGGTGAGACAGTCGCACCCATCCATCCTTATGTCTCAGTGCAGAGCCTTGAAATGAGTTCCAATTATGCTTGCACTTAGTAGTACATTATGACAGTTTGTGTCATGGTTTGTTTAAATAAGACAATTTCTGCAGCATATATTAAGTGCAATTTAGAAAAAGAAAAGAGCTTAGCAATGTTAAATACCATCGGGAAGGTGTCTAAAATGAAGGTCTGTGTGTATGGTGTGCTCACAGGGCAGGAAGCTGGAGCTGAGCTCCTGTGGTCATTGTGCCTGCTGGCTCACAGCACCCTACTGATGGCCTGTGCTGCACGTTGGTTCCTTGTGTCTGTGAGGTTATCTCCAGATGAAATAATGGCAGACAACTTTTTCTCAAGTACATGTTGTCAACTAAGCACAATAAAGCAATCCAGAATGAGAAGAAATGAATCCAGAAGTGTCTTTCAGTTGTTGTTGAAATGGAGGTTAGGTACTTCTGTGCTCCTAAATCTTCTGTCTTAGAAGCCCTCTGCTGGTAGGGGCTGTGCAGAATGTGTGGGGTAGTTCTGTTGTTCTTGTCAGGTGGGGAAATGTGGTCAGTCTGCCTGTGAGTTTGCTGCCTTCCTCCTTTTTGGCAGAGCCTATGTTTGATCCAAGTCCATCTTTCATATACACCAGGGCCCAGATCCTTGGGCAGATGAGTTAAGCTCAGGGAGGGTCCAGCAGGTCCTGTAGGAGCATGGTAACTAACACTTGGTTTGCTTGGATTGGTTCTGCATCCCCAGCATGGGGCAGGGGCACGGGGTGGGCAGCAGGAAGCCTTGGGGTGGCAGTAGGGTGGGAAGACCCACAGGTGTATCCACCTGGGAGAGGAAATCTGTGATTGTTCTTTGTGCTTGGCTTTGCTTGGTCTGAGTTGTTCTGTTTCTAAAGTTTGTAATCCCCAAACTTTTAGTCCCTTTGTAGTCTGGAAGTAAACTCAAGCATCTGGTCTGAAATGGAGGCAGGGATTCTCATGAAAACATTTTATGCCATAGGGGAGAGGGGCACGATTAATTTCTTGCACGTACATAGCTAAGAATGCTGCTCGTAATCATTCTGATGAGCAGGCATGGAAGCATGCAGGAGGAGGTGTCAGCAGAGAGCCAGGCTGGGCAGCTCCTGGGGTCACGGCATGGCTGTGCTGCTGGCAGTGCTGCTCGCAGGCTGTCACAGCTGCAGGGACGGGGAGAGAGCAAAGGCAGAACCAAGGGAAATAAGGGTAGAACGAGAGCGAAGGGGAATCAGCGTGCTGCCGCATTTACGCTGTGTGTCACGATGCGAAGCTTCTGTCGCTCAGATCTCCAAAAGCCTTTAAGCTTTTTAACCGCTGCTATTTTTCAAAAGCCAATCGCGAACTCGATTTAGTAAAAAAAAAAATAATAAATAAAATAAAAGCTCTCGAGGCGCGTCTCGGGCTCAGCGCGTTGGCTGTCCCAGAGCCCCTGGCGAAGGCCCCACTTCCCTGCACACTAGCTTGGCTGGCGGAGCTGCAGCCTTCTCCTGCTGTATGCACGGCAGCAGCGGGCTGAGATTGATTGCGTGGGGAGCGGCGTGCGGCCGAGGGAGGGTCACAGCACATGCTCAGTGCCGGCAGTCCGAGGGCGAAGTTTCTGCGTTCTGCGTGCAGGCTTAGGTCATAGCACAAGCTCAGTGAAAGCTCGCTGAGGTCTCTCAGCCTGCATGTGCCTCCATTTTGAGTTGGTAGAGTGGAAAAGGCAGAGTTTGAGCTGTTTAGTAGGAGGTTCAGGAATACATCTAAACCCACCAGAGCCTGTCATAGTCATGGATGATCCATTCAGCCCCTGCAGGTAGGCTGCATCACTCTGGCCTCCCCTAAGCAATGCTGATTTTTGCTGTTATTTGTGACTTCTGCAATGTTTATGAAATCATGTCCTTCTTATTGCATGCTCCTCAGAAGCTTGTAATCCCACCAGCTTTGCTGCACAGCTCTGCATGAGGGCACGGAGCAGGGGATCCGCTGGCGCAGGGGTGCATGTAGCAGAATGCTGGAGCTGTCTGCACTGACGTCTTTTTTTCCCCCCCTTTTCCATTCTCCCCCCCCCCCCTCCCTCTGTGGTGCACTTTGCATTTTGGCTGTGCT